GACTTTTTTCCTGTTTTACTCAGAGATTGAACCACATTGTTCAGCTTCAGAGTGCTTTTGGATAGGAAACTCGCATATAACTTTGGCTTAGCAAGATCCTTGTGATTCACTGCACCAGATTAATCAAAAAAGAAAGAAAAAGAAAGAAAAATATCTTCAGACGTTTTAGGTGATCGTTACAATATCTAAGACGTGCAAATTGGGTGAAAAGCTTGCGGAAAAATTCAAAACAGATGACGTTGTAAAAAATATTAAACATTTTCATATAACCTTACAAAACCTCAGGTCTTGTAAGATTATTTTCTCCAACAAATCCAACTAAAAAGCTGAACTTTTTCATGTTTGTCTAGGCCTGGGGTCTCACCTTTCCCTTGTGGAAGATGTTGTGCAGCAGTGGGAGATGCTCCGACGACAAGTCTCGAAGACTCTTGATGTCTTTCTGACGAGCGATGGCGATCAGGTAGAGGTCGTCCACCTGAAAGAGTGAAAAATGATCCTGTGAGACTTGACAGAGGAAGGCGTGACTGAAAGTGGGGTAAATTACCTCCACAGTGATCTTATAAATTAAATAATCTCCTACTAGTGATTATTCAATGTTAAGGAGTTACTGACTTAAAACAAGATTCTATATCTTCCTGAAAAGTTACTTGTAATTTAGTTTTGTCTTATTTCAAGTGTATTAACATTTTTGAACTAGAAACTAGACAAAAAAAAATTACATGGTAAGATTTTGTTTGCAGCGCTAGCTTTCCCTCCTTCTCTCTCTGCGCTTTGGCACCCCAAGGCACCCGGTTGCCATGGCACACGCACCATAACAACCGTCTGAAAATTAAAAAAAAAAAAAAGGAAGAGCAAAGATCCTTCCAGTTGTGCAGCATCCAGAACCAAAGGGGAAAATTGTCCGAACATTCAACCAAAAGCTGTAAAGAGACGGTTAGCTCTTGACTGAATTCTCAGAGAAATTCACAAAAAAATCCGTCTTCTGTCATCAAACGCGTTTTTGTCACCCATGAATAGATGGCGGTGAATGACAGACTAGGTTTCTATTGCACACGTCTGTTTTGGATACTTGTTGGGATTTTTTTTTTTTTCATGTGAAATAGCAAAATTGCCAGGAAGGTTCTGGTCTTTCACCTGTTTTTGGTCCCACTTTAGGTCAGGAAGCAGGACAAAACCGACCTCAGGGTCCGGATCATCGTAAACCACCCGCTCTGCCTCGGCCTTCTTCTCCAGGATGTTGTAGACCCACTGGACGAGGAAGAAGGAAGCAAACAATCACAGCTCGCCCCGAGACATGAAACTGTAACCAAGAAAGTCGGCGGATTTTGTGTAGCTTCCTCACCTGCAGGCTCAAACTCTGCTCCTGAATGTAGGGCAGCGTGACGGAGCGGTAGTCGTCCCCAGTCTCTTCCACCAGGAAACTCTCCTGCCGCCTGTACTTCTTCACGTGTTTCTCTGTGGCCGGACACACCACCGTGGTCTTGATCTCTGCGAGACGAAACAGAGCCCCGGAGAAAGCGTTCTTGACCTCTAAATGTTTGTGTACCGTCAGGATTTTATGCAGTAAATCAACAGAAAGTTGTGGAAAATTGTGAAGTGGAAGGAAAATGATGCACAGTTTACAAATTAAAGGGAAGGTACTATGTATTTCTCATAATAGAACAATCAAATAATGACTATGTTACCTTCAGTTATTATAAAAAGGTGTGTATATATATATATATATATATATATATAATATGACTTTGTAATTAAACACCTTAAAATTGAGCCTCTGTCTCTTTATTTTTTATTTACATTATTATTTTTATATTATATTATTATTTATATTTTTATCTAAAAATTTTTTATATTTTTTTATTTTTATATTATTATATTATATTATATTTTATTATTATTTATTTTTTTATCTCTATTTTTTTTTGTCTCTTTGTTTTCTCTGTCTCCTGTTCTTTTTGAAACTCCGCCTTCAGGAAGTCATTACAACATGGCTCCTCTATTAACCCTTTAACAACATTTTTACCAGCGTTGTGCTTAGAAGTAGCTCCTATAATGAGCTCAGCTGATGCTCAGTTCAGCCGATGCTCAGCAATTAGGTGTTTTCCAATTGCTGCTGGCTAGTCTGAAGGAGCTGAGTGGGAGAGTCGTGGAGGTAGACTGATCTGTGAGGCAGAAGTTTAGAAACTTGGAAACTGCAGCTCTGAGGAGGAGCTTTATCCTCGAAGGCAGAGCTAGGTCCACCTAGGAGTTTTGGACAACTGAATGGTTGCGATGAAGATTAAAGGATTTCTCAAACATGCATCAAAGCAACACTCCAGGTATGTTTTTGATGAGGGAAAAACATTAAAGTTAAAAAAAAAAAAAGTTGATCTTACATGATACTGCCCCTTTCAAAACAAAAAAAGAATAGTGCAGCCAAAATCAGGACCCAGTTCAAATCTACATAATTTCATACCACTTAATATATTTATGAATGCCTTTGCATGCTGTCCTGTATTTACCATTGAGGTGAGAGGGCGCCTGGAGGCGGTAGGAGCTGTAGATGTCGTTTCTCATGTCCAGCCTGAGCTTGGAGTCCCTGAAGAGCTCAGCCAGGGAGTCTTCTCTGATGGGGGTCTTCTCCAGGACCACCACGGCCTCATCACCAGCCATCTGAAGAGGACATGCTCAGCACCTCTGTTTCTGCAACATTATCTATCGCACTCACTTTGAAATAAATCAGTGCAAGATCTAAGAATGTAGGACTACTATTTTGAAGTAATAAACCGGAAGTGAATAACGCACCGCCTTCTTACAACTTCATCACACAGCTTTCAACAAATATCAGAGGTAAAGGCATCCTTCCAGCCAATGAGATGATCGCAAACTCTTTCACTTAGCAAAATAAGCCTATTTTATGTAATATAAATAAAGTGAAGTTCGGTTAAATTAAAGGGAAAAACACCTTTCCGTGGAGAAACATGATTTTCTCCCGGGCCGAATCACTCAGCACGCTGGTTGTTGTGAACGTAGAGAGAATGTTTTCCCATTCAGGTTCATTTCCGCTCTCCTCTCCATTTTTGTCGTCACCTTTCGCCCTCTTGGCTTCACGAGACAACTCTTCGCCTTCAGCACTGGAAATTTCACGTTTAGCCGCGACGTTCGCCATGTTCGAGCCGCCGCCGCTGCCGCGATCAAAGATCGTCTCCGTCTGAAAGCAGGGCACACTCTGCACAAGAAGACCAAGCTAATTTTTCAAATCAAATGCAGGAAACTCAGAATATCTGCATCTGCTTTTTATTTAAGTAAAACACCTTCCAAAATGATCATCATCAACAACAACAACAATAATAATAATAATAATAATAATAATAAAAAATCAGTACTTATTTGCTTTTTAGACTAGCAAGTAACTCAAATATGTTTATGTGTGATTTAAAGGAACATATAAGCTTTTCAGCAGAAAATAAAGAATGAATGATGGAGAAAACTAACCCACATAATTAAAGATTGGCTAAACAAACAAATTAAATACATCAGAAAAATAATTAGTCCCCCAATAATAAAGGAAAAATATTTCATTTTTGTAATTAAAAATATATAAAAATCACAACAGATTGCAAGTAAAACCACAATAAGAAAAAAAATTACAAATAATTTCATTTTGGAAAAAAAAGAAGCTTTGGTTGTGTTTTAACTGTTAACTGAATATTTTGCTGATAAATGAAATGCATTTGTCTTCATTGTTTAAATTATTTGATTATTTAAAAAAGAATTTTGCAAGAATTAATTTTTAACCAGTACAATAATCATAATTGTTGTGTCATTCCATAAACAAAAGGGCAAGGATACTAACTGAACTTAAAGTTTCGCTCTTATAACGTAAAAAGACAAGAATTTAGAGTCTTTTTCTGTATTCACATAATCAATGTACATATTCGCTGACATATACATTGTAGCAATTTTTCACAGAGTGAGACCTCATTAGGATGCCTTTTATATAGTCAAGTTAGACGTAATCAGAAACAAAACAGTCGCCTATGTTGTGTTTGCAGCTTAAAATTTCATTATGATTTCATTATGAGATAGTTACCCTGTGGGTTTGAATTTGAAAGAACAGTTTAAAAGGCAGAACAAAAACACATGGTAATAACCCCGTCTGAGCCGACGAGAGATGGTAATAAGATTACTACGATAACAATCCTCTTATTATGTTTAAAAAACATAAAAGGTTTTATGTAAGTTAAATGTAATACTATGGAGAGCTATTGTCCTGTCTAATGGCATCTACACCACAATACGACCTTATTATTTTAATTGTTAATTTTTTTTTAAATAAATGGAGTCCATAAAGACAACTAGTTAATAATACTACCATAGTAAACAATACTAATAAACAATACTTTGTCCACGCCAAACAGGAACGTTCTAACCCAGAAGTGTCAAACTCCAGTCCTAGACTTCCACTGTCCTGCACCGTTTAGATGTGAACCTGCTGCACCACACCTGATTAGAATAACTGGGTCATTAGCAGGACTCTGGAGAACTTATCTACTCAATAAGGAGGCAATTAAGCCATTTGACTCCGGTGTTTTGTACCTGCTAGATCTAAAAACTGCAGGACAGCGGCCCTTGAGGAATAGAGTTTGACACCCCTGTGTCCAATAAAATGATTGACGGGAACTTTAACTAGTGAACGCCTTCGCTCGTGCCAAAATGGAAAGCTGAATGGACCAATGAGCGCGTAGGCCCTCGCTGACTCTCATTAACAGGAAGTTATTTAAGCAGCAGGACCTAGCCGCTAAGTTTATGTTGTTGTTTCACTGAGCATGTGGAAGGCATCCTACGTGAAGTCCTCTGAGCAGCGCAGAAATGAACCCGGGAGTTTTTACGTGGCTTTTCCTACTGTGGCTTCGTTCACGGACACTTGCTGCGGCCACAGCAGGTAGATAACTCGATACCAGGAGGAAGTAACTCTAAAATGAGCTTTGTTCTCTTTTACTGAATAATTTGTCAGTCATTTCTGTGATGGGGTTGGGGTTGTTTGTCCTTTAGTCTCACATGCTAACGTTAACTCTTCATATTTGCTCTTAATATGAGGTTTATACCTCATAAAAAGACTCAGTGGGTCTTTTTTATGAGGTATAAACTGGACATTAGCTGAAGTGAAATTGGCTTTTATCTGTTCGTTTCAAACTAAATACTTTGCTTTTTTTCAAGCTTCTTCTCCTGTCACCTGGTATTGGTGTGTTAAAGTGTGCGTTTCTAGAGTTAAACCTCTAAGGTCTGCTTGTTTTCAGAGAGGAGTAATGTCCTCTTCATCATGTCGGATGATCTGCGGACATCCCTGGGTTGCTATGGAGACACACTTGCGAAGTCTCCCAACATTGACCAGCTGGCATCCAAAAGCCAAGTCTTCCTCAATGCGTTTGCCCAGGTCAGAGCAAGATTTAGTAAAAATTTGAAATGATTTACAGCTTTTAAACAAGAATGTGTGTGCTTTTTATTTCCACTTTATTAGGGTAAAATTGTAAGCTTTTAATAATAAAAATTGATTGCAAGCTACAAGGAGCAATTAACTGTTTTTCTATAAAAAAAATAGAACTCAAAAATTATTAAATTCTGTTCAATATTAAACACTTAAACCACAGGTGTCAAACTCCAGTCCTCTTGGGCCACTACCCTGCAACTTTTAGATGTTCCTCTGCTGCACCACACCTGAATAGAATAATTGGGTCATTAGCAGGACTCTGGAGAACTGATTTACACGAGGAGGTAATCAAGCCATTTCATTCCAGTGTTTTGCACCTTTGGCACATCTAAAAACTGTAGGACAGCGGCCCTTGAGGACTGGAGTTTGACACCCCTGAAAACTAATACTAAATGTTATGGGTGTTGTGTACATTTCCTTGATTCTTTGGATCAAAGTGAAAATGCAAAAGTGTTGTATTGTGGCTATATACAACATTTTACCAGCAACCACAGGAGTAATTGTTTCATTTCAGTGTTAAGTCATTAGCTTATGAAATGCATTTTGTTTTTATTTTTTACTCCAGTTTCTCATACTGTGTGATTTATACTGGTCCATGCCCAGTTGGGACAGGTTAGGCCTCACTGATGTGTTTTAGAACCATTTCTCCCCCCCCCACCGTATTCCAGCAAGCCGTGTGCGCTCCCAGTCGCACATCCATGTTGACCAGTCGCAGACCGGACACGACCAGACTCTATGACTTCAACTCCTACTGGAGAGTCCACGCTGGGAACTACACGACTCTGCCACAGCACTTTAAATCTAAAGGCTACTACACCATGTCAGTGGGAAAGGTGTTTCATCCAGGTATGAACAGTGTGTTTTACTGGAAGAAAATCCTAAAAACAATTTGAAATGGTTGATCACAAGTTTAGCCCCTTGTGCTTATATGTCCTGTTTCTTTCCATAGGAATTGCTTCAAACCACACTGATGACTACCCTTACAGCTGGTCTGTTCCTGCATATCACCCATTTTCCTTTAGATTTGAGAAGCAAAAGGTATGAATTGCATGTTTGAAATGTGGTTATTGCCTTGCATGGTAGTATAACAGCTGGTCCTTCACAAGGAACAACTTATCCCTGACTAACATCTGACAGTACTCTCCTGTGGTCTGTATGACAAACTCTTTCAACAAGGTAAATTGATTAGCACACATTGTAGGCATAAGGATCAGTTGAATAGACTGACTCCTCAGTAGAAGAATGCACTGCTGACCACTGAGCTGTGATATTGTTTCCGCCTTATATTTGTCATGATTAATGGAGGGATTTAGACATTCAAATAAGTAATTTAGAAATTAAACATGTTTTGTAGGTTTCCTTGAAACAAAATTGAAATCAAAATAAACCCAGTTCCATGTGGACTTAATTAGTATAAGATGATGTTGTGGTCCTTTGTGTGATTCCATCAGTGTTTACCATCATTGTGGAGGAATTCAGACTGAGCCATGCTGTTGTGGATTTTCTGCTGTTTGGGACCATTGTCCCTTTTCATTTCACATTAATCTCTCTGACACATGGCTTCACATTTGACTCTACGTACTATGGCATACAGAGGAGTTTATGGTTGACTCAGTGACTCCAAAGGGCCCAGGTTCTCAAAAATATAACCAGTCCTCCATCACTGACTGACAGTTGGTACGAGTTGCCATTCAGAGATGTGATTATAATGTCTGAAGACTGATTCTAGTTGGTCAAGCCAATGCTTTTGGATGAATAGTGAACTTTTTCAAACATTTTCGAGTTAGATGGTTGCAGACTGAATAAAAAAAACTCAAATTAAGCCTTTAGGTGAAAGCTTGTTAAACTGGATATAAAGGATTTCTACTAGAAATGTCGATCAGGTTTTTTCTTGCCAATTCCGATCACCCATGAGGGCCGATCACCGATACCGATCACATAATTATTTTAATCATAAGCACTACCGGTTACATTATGTGGAAAAAGGAACCATGAATTCACCTTAATTTAAACAAAAACTTGTTTTTGATAACTTTTTCCAAGAACAAAACAAAACGGGCATTGTGGAAATTGTACTGCTATCGGTAA